CCACCACCGCACCACCACACCACACCACGACATCACACCATCATACCACCACATAACACCACCACATCACACCATCATACCACCACATCACACCACCACACCGCCACATCTAACCACCACACCACCACATCTCACCACCACACCACCACATCTCACCACCACATCTCACCACCACACCACCACATCTCACCACCACACCGCCACATCTCACCACCACACCACCACATCACACCACCACACCACCACATCACACCACCACATCTCACCACCACACCACCACATCTCACCACCACAACACCACATCACACCACCACATCATACCACCACATCACACCACCACATCTCACCACCACATCTCACCACCACACCGCCACATCTCACCACCACACCACCACACCACCACATCTCACCACATCTCACCACCACATCTCACCACCACATCTCACCACCAAATCTCACCACCACACCACCACATCTCACCACCACACCACCACATCACACCACCACACCACCACATCTCACCACCACACCACCACATCACACCACCACATCTCACCATCACACCACCACACCACCACACCACCACATCACACCACCACACCACCACATCACACCACATCACACCACCACATCACACCACCACACCACCACACCACCCCATCACACCACCACACCGCCATATCTTAGACGGTAAGTCACACAGAAGCACTGCCACATGAATTAACACACTTACCTTTTACTGAAGAATTCAAAACCCGTTTCACTGCCTCAAGTTGAGCTCAATCTTGTAACAGACCAGTTTCCAAACACAAAAGGGTTTTCTTCCAGAGCTGCACACCCACCATAAACACTACCCGGGGTGATTGAGAATACACCATAGTTTACAAAAATCGTACTTCTTATGCTCCCCAGATTATCTTTCGCCTGGCACAAACCGTTGATTTAATTGATAGCTGGGTCGGATATTACGCATACACGTTACGTTTACCAGTATGTAGGGACACACCTATGGAAGGGGTTATGGTACCAAGGACATACACGTTACGTTTACCAGTATGTAGGGACACACCTATGGAAGGGTTGTGGTACCAAGGACATACATGTTTTCATATTTGTAACTCGGTCATACATAAATTTTTTACTAATTATAGACTGTTTTGCTTTTTTGGATGGATATTATTCATGGATAATTAGGGAACATGCAGAATTAGGTAACGGTTGTTGTTGACCCTTTTTGCTAATGTACATTGATAGTAATATACTACGGTCTTAATAGACAGCTACATGGTTCATGTTATCTGTTAGGATATAGTTTCTTTGTAAATATCATCATCATATCTATATATTAAATTGTCGGAGTTTATCTCACCTTATTGTGTTTTGTCTCTTATTTCCATAGACACACAGCGAACCTTAGTGCTGATACACAGGCAAATTTTGTTCACGTGAATTTCACGTGAATCTCATTTCACATGAAATCACGTGAAATTCACGTGAACCAATTTTGCCTGTGTAACTGGGTGACGGGATGGAACCTGCAGCACATTGCCAGTTACAGTGCGATGCAAAACAGTCAAAGGGAAATAACTCGAATTAAATTTGTTTTACCGTCAAAGTTGTCCAGCAAAAAGACACAGATTTTGATCCTTATCACCTGTTTGTTTCGTTTGAACATATCAATAAAAGAGAGGGAACATATTTCCCTTTAGAAAAAATGACTTCAACGATTTAGCACACTTTTTTTTAATATATCATATATATCCTCGATACTCCAAGGGTTACGTTCACTTTCGTTCTCTACATCTCTGGGATATGTCATGACAAATTCGAAGGCTCGGTGTGCGCCACCTTGTGGATGAGACATGAAGAGTAGTTTGAAGTACATCAAGAGAATACGGGTGCATCAATAGGATAGGTATCAGCTAAAGGATATTTCAGGTGGGTTTTTTTTTTATCCGATACCAATCAAATAGCTATCTTCGTGTCTTCAATTTTGCTCTGACAGGGGGTTAGGGTTAGGTTAACCCTGACCCTATTCCGGGGGTGCAGTGATCGAGCTTAAGTGAGCGTAACCCCTTGGGTATCGAGTGTGATATAGCATTGGCCCGATGATCTGGCCACAGTGACCTCCATGATTTACTTCCTGTGCCAGAACAGGGAAACAGTTGAGATTCACACCGCTTACCCTTGAAGCTAGGCATGAAGAGACAGAGACACTCATGCTACCAGTATTAGCTCGGGGATCCAACCACACCCCTTGGAACTTACCCCGTGGGCCATGACACGGGGTAATAAATAGGATGTTCGCTTAGATATTATAACCAGGATGTTATATATAGAAATCGGAGATGTTATGCTATTTCCACCCATTTACTTCTTCTTCGTGACTGGATGGGCAGCAGGGCGAATACACGCTAATCCCTGTACATTCACGGCGACGTAGCGAAAAACGAAGACGAGACGAAAAGGCACAATTAAGTCACCATTAGGTTTTGTTTTTGCCAATTTGACGAAAGAAATCGATTGGTAAATAATTAAACATTTTTATTAGATGTTTTTTTTCTTAAGAATATATGCTGATGAATTGATATATAAGCTATGTTTAAACACATCTAAATACCATAAATCGTCCAACATTTTGATATCAATTTCTTTAGATCAAAACTTTCATTGACTTTAAACATATTTTATTGTCCAAAATAGGTACAAAGGATTTGGCACAAGTTATAGCAACTTACAAGGCCATCAGCTATCAACAACATACAATTGTATATAGTTCATACATATGCAAGTGATGACATAGACAATTAATTTCAAATTCAATAATTGAAAGAAGTCAAATAACGTGTAAATTGTAATAAATATATACGAATCCAAAAATGATATCAATAATTAAACATGGTATACAAATAGGTTCCTTTTAATAGTCTGTTTTTGAGGAAATAGCTTTCCTCTGCCTCCACTTCCTCGAGATGTCTCCCCCTTACGTCATGGTTGATTGGGTTTGCTGTATACAATGTAGATGTTTATCCGAGGTAAGGCTTGTTTACAGTGGAAAGACAGAAACACGAAATCGAAGTTTAGTCTATACAGGAATCTTTTTTACAGAGGGACTGGAAGAGGAAGGTTGACGAGGTGACAGCGGTTAAAACTGGTCTGGCGCCAGTCGGAGGTGGCGGTGGAGGACACGGGTAAATTGGGTCATTTTCTCGGATCCAAGCAATTCAGATCATGTCACGTTTCCAGTGAGGATAAGTGAAAAATATTCTCATTCCTCGTGGTGGAGGACCAAGCCCTCGGACGAAATACCTTTTACCAAATGGTATATGTGGCGGAATCTCTTTCAGCTCCTCTTCAGTCATGTAAGGATGAATTTTCGTTGCTCGGCGCCGACGACGTAAAAAGTCGAAACAACCCATGTTTGTGAATTCTTAAGAGATTTTCTGATTGTGTCTGATTGCGTTGCTGTTTGTTATATTATAGCTAGATATTTACATTTGTGTCGCAGTGCCTCTAGATAACAGTATTAACAGTACTAAATGTACTGTTACATGACCTCTGACCCCCCCCCCCCCCCCCCCCCCCCCC